AGCGTCACTTCTTAATTTGTCATGCCACCACGCTCACATCCTCCAGCTAAAACTGTTTGTAATTTAAATCAAGTCAGATCAACTTGTTATATGTCTTCTAACACAGGATCATCCTGATTAGGTTAAGGGTGTCGGAGAGGGAGCATTCCAAGAAAAAAAGTGAATTCTTGTTCTGAGGGGGTGGGGCTTTGATGACATCAGAATATGACCACAGAGAATCGTCAGGCATCCAACAGGGATGACTCATGCCAATTTTGGTGCATTTCAGTCTTTTAATGTGAAAGTTATAGCATTTGAAAATTAACGGCGTGAAGTGCAACTTTGAGGCCTGGCCTCACCCCTTTAACATCTCTGAAAATGCAAGCTTTTCATAACTTTTACTTCCCAATCTGATAAGGATAAAATGGCCATGCTTTCTACAGTTGCAGCTTTGTGCATTCCACCCATCTTTCGGACGACTGTACGTACATATTCGCGTTGTATCTCGGTGTAATGCCAATAAAGTTTATTCTTATTCTGATGTTTTAAGGGCATCTTAACCAAGTTGGAAGGCAATCTTTCAAAATCCCTAGGATGAGTTTGTTAAAACTCGCAATTAGAAACGCCCCAAAATGAACCTTTGACCCAAAATGGCCAACTTCCTGTTGAGTTTGGACCAGGGCTCCAAGAGAGTTTTTCATAGGTCCTGAGAAGATACAGATGTTTGCCAAGCTTCAGAATTATCTGTCATAAATTGGCTTGGGGCTGAGGTTTTAAAATATTCAAAGGGGCGCTGTGGAGGCTATTGGCCATTTATCATGGATTCTTGTTCAAGGGGTGAATAATGATCGATCATACTAATTTTTGTACACCTCGACTCAAATCTGTGGAATTTAGAGCCAAATGTATAGCGACGTTTTTACGTCTTTCTTTGCCACGCCGCGCCGCCCACATGCTCCACCCAAAACTGTCAGTGTTGTAAAGCAAGTTACACCAACATGTCTTCGGTCACTGGACACACTATCATGCTGATTCCATCACAGGGGTCAGATAGGTACCGTTAAACGTAAAACTTTACACTTCCTGTTGTCAGGGGTCGTAGCTTAAGTGATGTCATGATTTGACCATTCAGTCTTGCAGGGGACCAGATGTGGATCAATCACTGAAGGTTTCATGTCTCAGACAGTTTTCGTGTAGGAGCTATTAGCGTTTTGTTTTTCATGGCGAGATGTCAAATTTGAGGTCTGGCCCTGCCCCTTCATCATGCTCCAAAATGCACCGTTTCTATAACTTTTGGTCTCCCATGCCTTTTGACTAAAATGGCCAAGTTTGAAATCGATTGAGCGAAATACCTATGAGGAGTTCGTTTAAATGTGGAGGCTGTAAAACGCCAAAAAGGTGTAAAAATTGGGACGGCATTCCAAAATGGCCTCCTTCCTGTTTATCGTACAACGTTGGTGCCAGAGGGTGTTCTGTGCATCTTGGGAAATTGGACAAATGTACCAAATTTCATGCTTCTATGACAAACTAAGGTTAACGCGGAGGGTATTTAAAAAATTTCCAGGTGGCGCTCTTGAGCCATTTATGTTGCGATTTTTGCGACGCCCTTAAAATACGTAATTTTTTCACCAGTCCGCCAAATTTGGTGAGTTTTGGGATATGTTAAGGCCCACAAAAGGCCAATTCATTTGACGGAAAAATTGCTCGGGCCTAATGAACTGAACGATTACAATAGGCCTTTGCAGCGCTTCACTGCTTGGGCCTAACTACAAAAAGACACAGATTTTTTTTTTTTTTCAACAGTCAATCTTCTAAAAAACACAATTTTGCTTCTTTTCTTAGTTTATAAAAATGTATAAACATGCCTAAAATGCATAAATGTTAAATCTGAGTAGGCGAAAAATACAAAGAACAGAATAAAATAAATGAGTCCATGTGGGTTATATTGCATGCTTTACTTTGTGTTGAAACCTTTTCACTTTGTAATTTAAGATAAAAATCTTTAATGGTTAACTCAAATTTGTACTTTTCACTCTAACCCCATAAAGGGACATACAGGGACAAAGTTCACTCTTGTAATGACTAACAAAAGTTGTAAAAAAGAAATCATGCTGAACAAAATGTTTTGTTTTTCAAGAACTAACAGACATTAGATGCACACAATTCTAAACGGTACTATGGAAATGAAGACACAGAAGGGAGTATCTAAATCTGGTTCTTACATTTTTTAAAGAACTGTTCTGTTGTTAAAGCCACGTGAAGATTATTTGTTACCACAAAAGAACATCTCTGATGATAATGATGATGATGATTATTGGCTGATATAGGCTTAGACTGCTGGAGGACAAACTGACCACATTTCTTCACTTTACTACTGTCTTTACTTACTCTGCTCAACCTGTTTTATATTTGAACTTATTTTTTCTATCCTTGACGTGTTTTTGTCTATCAGGTACACCTGGACCTATATCTGGACCTACCATTCTGTGTTCGTCTGTCTCTCCTTCCTGTCCTCTCAAACCCAGGCAGTCAAAGCAGATGGCCGCTTGTCCTGAGCCTGGTTCTACTGGAGGTTTCTTCCAGTTAAAAGGGAGTTTTTCCTCTTTCCACTGTTGCCACTATGCTTGCTCAGGATGGGAGACTTTGATGAAGTGAAGATTCAACAAGTCTGCTGGCTTCCTTAGATAGAAAACTTTACTAACTGGCTTTTCTATGTATGTGAATGTTCCTGTTCAGTGCCGAGACAACTTTTTGTAAAATGGTGCTATACAAATAAACTGAATTTAATTTAATTTAATTGATTATGATGATGTTTGTGGGCAGCACGGTGGCACAACTGGTAGAGCTGCTGCCTCTCAGCGAGCAGGTCCTTGGTTCAAACCCCGGTCCAGGGACCTTTCTTGGTGGAGTTTGCATGTTCTCTCCGTGCATGCGTGGGTTTTCTCCGGGTGCTCCAGTTTCCTCCCACAGACCAAAAACATGCATGTTAGGCTGATTGGTAACTCTAAACTGTCCCTGGGTGTGAGTGAGAGAGTGAATGGTTGTTTGTCTCGTTTGTCTCTATGTGTCCCTGTGATGGACTTGCGACCCGTCCAGGGTGTACCCCGCCCCTCGCACAGTGATTGCTGGACATGGGCACCAGCGACCCCCGTGACCCAAAATGGAATAAGCGGGTAAAGATAATGAATGGATGGATGATGATGTTTGTAGTTTGTAGTCGAGCATGTGCAATATGCGGTACTCTTGTTGGATTTGGCCAGTTTCTAAAGACAAATGTTAACAATGATATTTTATCATGTCTCTGTGTGTATGTTTTTGTTTGTCTGACATGTTATTATACTGTATTTCTCATGAACAGCTGGACAAATTTCAATAAAACTTTCAAAGAGATCAGTATATGGACATTTATAGTTGATTAGCTTTTGAAGTCAACCAGTTCAAAATTATTGCCACAGCCAACTGATCCAAGGACAGACCAGCTGGCTATAACTTAGTGAAATTTACAGATCTTGCAAACATTTTATGTGTAAGTAGCTGAGCATAATCCCAAACACATACTGTTTTTTCTGCTGTACACTTCGCACCACCCAATAAGTCGCATCAGCCCAAATATGTATAATGAAGTGGAAAAATCCATAAATATGTCACTTTGCCGTATATGTTGCATCTATTATGCATCACCACTGACAAACTGACAATTTTGGGGGAGTGGTGGCGCAGAGGTTAGAGAGGTGGGCCTGTGATCCGAAGATCGCCGGTTCACGCCCCGGCCCCGACAACATCCAAATTGCGGGTGGGGTAGGTGAAACACCCACACTTGCCCCCACCCTCATTCGCCCCACTCTGGGCCCATGAGCAAGGCCCTTAACCCCCACCATGTGCTCCCTAAACAGGTCTCTCTTGAAAATGAGTTCTCGTGGCTCAATGAGACTAACCTGGATAAATAAAGGCTAAATGAAAAAAAAATGAAAAAATCTGGAAATGTGGGCTGGTGTTGAGCCAAAAATCGATTGGCTGCACAGGAGAGTGCACGCAAAGATTTTAACAAGAATTTAACAAGATTAACATTTGAAAATAATTATTTGTTAGCTTGACTTTATAGTAAAGGTGTGTCTCAGTCTAACTTTTCCTTAATAAATGCACTTTGACGGTCAAAACAGCTGCATTTTCTAAAGCCGATATGCGGAAACATTAACGCGCAGAGGGTGACTCATTGCCCATTTCTTCAAAATTTAACAAGATAACCACCTAAAAACAATTGTGTGTTTGCTCGACTTTATAGTAAACATGTGTCTCTGTTGAACTGTTACTTAATAAATGCACTTCAGTGGTCAAATCAGCTGCATTTCACCGGGGCTGTGCAGCAAAATGAAGCTGAATTGACGGCTGCTCCAGGCAGATGACGGTGGCAGGCTAGGGCAAGACTATTGTGTCATTAATAACCACTTTTACCTATTACATAATACAATGGCATGCCATACACCTCGAGTGCCATCTAACGGCTGAAAATGGTAGTGTTCAATATTTTCAGTCAGAATGAATGAAAACGGTCATATCTCAGCCAAAAATTGGTTTATAAATATGAAAAAAATCCATAAATATGTTGCCTTGGTGTCTAAGTTGTAGGTCATGCAAATTATGCAAAAAAAAAAGTGACTTATAGGGTGAATAATACGGTACTCAACAGATCTTTGTTTTAATTGCAGATCTTGCAATATCACATGGGTTACATGATTTACAAGGTTTGACCAAATGAACTAAAACTGGCATGAAATGTTGCAGGTCATATGCATCCCATGAAGGAATGCAAAATCTTTTTGTACTTTGTAACATTTTACAACTTATTTATCTATTAGGTTTCTTCCTTTCATTTTATCCAGAAGACTTCAACACTTGTATTGTTAGAAGGTCCAAGAGGAGTATGTTTTTATTGCCCTTTGACAGACCAGTGATTAGTTTATCACTTTTACTGCTCAGTGTTGGCCAATCAGCCGATTTTTGCAAAGAAGGAGATTAGACGCACAGTGAGCAGCGCTGAATTGTACTCTGTTGGTATGAACACTGACTGCTGAAGTTGGACGACTGAACCAGTTTGCCTTTTTAATCTTTTTGAGGCAAAAGACAACTGCAGGTACAGTAGCTTTGTGTTTTTGTTGTTTATATAACCAATCTCTGTATCTTTCCAACCTAATTTAAAACCTAAAAATGAAGCTCTCGTGAGGTCGTCTTACATAAAAATATTACAGTCTCCTCTAGAGTGGCAGCTTTTTATTTAGAAATATTTTCTAAATAGATATATTTCAGATAGATTTTAACAGATTACGATACAAAGAAGGGTCTTTATTGTCAGTCAATAATTATTGTTTTTAAAGAAATGCATATTTTTAACATGCACATCTACCTAAGTCTGTATAAAGATTTGTTTCATTCACATGACATATGAGGTGAAACAAAAATAGTTACCCAGGTCTTAATTAAGTATAATAATTATAATACACTTTTAAAAAATAAATACCAATAATAAATGATTATTTTTTTTTTTTTTAAAGATTACAACAGCTGTAGCTATTGGAAGAGACAATGCTGCGACTTATCAGGAAGGTCAGAGAGCTCCGAGTACAAAAGTCAGCTTCAGGGTAGAAGCTGTTCCTCAGTCTAGCAGTCCTGATGTTCCACATTCTTCTATCTGAGGGGAGAAGTGTGAAAAAGGTGTGTGCAGGGCAGGTGGGGTCCCTTATGATGCACGTTGCCCTTATCTTACATCTGAAGGTGTAAAGATCTATGGTGGTGGGAAGTGTGGCTTCCACAACCTTCTGAGCAGCTATTACTACACTGTGCAGAGACTTCTTGCCACAGAGCAGCAGCGATGCTATTCAGTGATGCAGGAGTATACAGTAGGATGCTTTCCACTATTTTTCATTCAACCTTTATTTATACTGGTTAGTCTCATTGAGTCACAAAGACTCATTTACAAGAGAGACTTATTTAGCCAGACAACAATAAACTATAGTATAGTAAAAATGCAATAAAAATAAAAGTAGTGTTATAAAACAATAACTCAAGGTGCCATAAACAAAAGGTAAAATACTAAAAACAAGAACATACAGTCAAACAGTTTTCAGTCAGGTCATCTGGACAGTTTCTTTTTTTGCTGAAACGTTTCACCTTCAATCCAGAAGGCTTCATCAGTCAAGGAAACACACAACACAAAACTGATTCTTCACCCAAACAGCTTACTCCAAAGTGGAGAAAACCAGTTATGTTGGTGCTAAGATGGTGTCTTTGGCACGCCCCCTCCTGTGGTACCGGCCCTCTTCCTCGTCGACAGTCAGGTCAAACTGGTTCAAAACCAAAACAGTCCATGCTCAATAATTCAGGTAGACAATCCAACAATTGTTGCTATTGTTGGATTGTCTACTATTGGATTATTGAGCATGGACTGTTTTAAGAACATACAGTATTTGCTTTGATGTTTCTATTGACCATAGCAAATGTTTAAAATGTCCTAAAGATATAAAGGTGGAGAGCTTCAATTCCTGTTAGGTGTTCCAGGTTACAGGAGCAGAGTAAGAAAAGGCAGTTTTGCCAAGTTCAGAGTCAGAGTCAGAGTTTCTTTATTGTCGTTCGCACGTCATGTGGTACATGCACTAGTACAAGTGTATTAGTACAAGTACTAATAGCATAAAAAACAAAACGTCGAACAGCAGCACGAACATGAGTCTGTGTGAGCAGTTGAGCATGAATGAACACAGCAGCATGAAACAGATCAGCAGCAACATGATGTGATTTTTCACAGTCTGCATTGAGGGAACGCTGCAGGTAACAATGTCCTGAGAGCACAAGCTGTAACTGCATTGACGACGTGACGTGGGAGGAGATATAAGGTAGCAGACTAAGGAGTGATTTATGAATGAAAATTAATCCATGTCAGAGCCTACATGTAGATAATGATGATCAACTGACTAGTACAGAGTGGACGAGTGATGAGTACGGTAGTTACAACCAGTTATGAATCTTAGCGCACCATAGCAGTATCCAACATCTGCAAGGAGCTGGCAGGAGCATTCATGTAAATAATGTCACTATAATCAATGGCTTTTGGAAAAGTAGTGGTTACAAGGCATTTTTGGCAGTCAAAGTTAAGCGAGATCTATTTCTGAAAATGAAACCCAGTACACTATGAATGGTTGAGATAGGAGGAAGAGTTGCTGGCACCGACTTTCTGTTGAAAAACAATATCCCTTTGGTTTTATCAGCATTTAGCACCAGTTGGAGATGGAATACGTCTGAGTGAATAATGTCAAATGCAGACTGTAGAAGCTGGAAAACCTTGGCAAAGGTGTTAGCTCAACAATAAACAATTGCATCATCAACATAGAGATGCAAGGATGTGTCAGGAATGTTTTGACCTACATTATTTATATAAATAATAATAAAAAGAGTGGTTTCTAAAACTGAAACTTGTGGCATGCCATTAGTGACTGTTAGGCAGCTAGATGAAGTACCATTATGTTGAACACATTGCCTCGGACCTGAGAGGTAGTTGGAGAACCAACCAACAGTGTCATATGAGAAGCCAGTGTCTGAGAGATTAGGCATAAGATGTCATGATCTACAGTGTTAAAGGCTTTGGACAGGTCTAAGTAAAGTGCAGCACAGTAATCCTTAGCATCTAGTGCTTCATCAACAGCATTAAAAACATTTAGCAAAGTAGTCATTGTGCTGCATTTTTTCCTGAAGCCAGATTGGTGGAAAGATATAATATTAAATAGTCCAAAAACTTCTTGACTTGAGTGTTTATCCGGTTTTCTAAAACCTTAAGTAAAATAGAGAGTTTGGAGATTGGTTGATAATTGTTCAAAATAGTGGGGTCTCCTCCCTTCAATAATGGTAGTACAAAAACTGTTTTCCACACATTAAATTCAATTCAAAAATACTTTATTAATCCCCAAGGGAAATTAAATGTGGTTGTAACTCATCATACTGGTTTCTAAAGAGTTGTTATAGATGCTGGTGGCTGTGGGCAGGAAGGATCTTTTGTAGCTATCTGTCCTACAGCAGATCTGAAGAAGCCTCTGACTGAGGACACTCTGTTGTTGTATGACAGTCTGATGAAGAGGATGCTGAGAATTGTCTATAATGTTCTTCATTTTATGAAGAATCCTTCTTTGTACAATCATCTCCAAATGCTGGTGAAGATTCTCAGTCATCCAGGACATGATGAATTCAAAAAGCGTTCAATACAAAAACAACTGGACTTTATTTGTAACAGAAGACGTTTCATCATAAATCATCTCCAAAGATTCTAGAGGAGTCCCCAGAACTCAGCCAGCCTTCTTTATGAGTTTGTTGATCTTTTTAAGGTCACTTGTTCTGGTGCTGCTCCCCCAGCAGATGATGGCAGAAGAGATAGTGCTCTCTACAATAGACATTTCTTTTTGGAAAAAATTGCGACCACCAGGGCTCTCATTTCCCCTCCAACTCATGACCCATCCATCCCACCTCAATCTGTAGCTCCTTTTGACCATTTTGAACCCATCACTCTATCTTCTCTAGAGCAGGTCATGTGCAACTTGAAAGCATCTGAAACTGCCCTACTGAAGGTCTTTAACAACATCTTCAGATTCACAGATACCGGTGATTCTGTGCTGCTTGTCCTGTTGGACCTCACAGACGCCTTTGACACTATTGACCATGAGATCCTCATTGCTAGGTTGGAGCAGTGGGTGGGCGTCACAGGATCAACCCTCAATTGGTTCAGATCTTACCTCACTGACAGATCCTTTTGTGTCTCCATCAAGGATTTTAGTTCCACAGAGGCAGAGCTTAAATGGGGGGTCCCACAGGGGTCCATCCGGGGTCCCCTCCTATTCTCTTTATACCTGCTGCCGCTTGGTGCTATTTTCCAGAAACACAACATGCCCTTCCACTTCTATGCCAATGACTGTCAAATTTACTTCCCCCTAAGACACATTGGTACATGCTCTATTCAACCGCTGCTCAACTGCCTGGCTGACATCAGGGACTGGATGGCTTTAAA